ACGCAATGAACACTCGTAAATATCTTATCTTTGTGGCGGCTGGCCTGCTGCAGATTGCATGCTACATCCCTAAGTATGAACAAATGTGCAAACAAATGTGGTAACATTAAAAATTTGCGCAAGCAAAAAACGCAAACCATAAATATATTATATAAAGCAAATAAATAAAAACCAAAATGTGAACAAAGCAAGAAATTCGAAATCGCCAAAGTGAGAAGGAGCAAAAAAGGAAACTAAAAAGACATTAACAAAATCATAAATTCTTATCGCATCTCACAGCCGTAGCGAAAACAACAAAGACAAGGAGCTTTCTTAGATGACAATGAATATTGCGTAAACCACATGACGATGACGGTAAGCAATTATATAAGAGCAATGAGCAGCACATTGCGGCAATTGCAAGCAGCATCAGCGGCAGTTTCTCATTGCTCTCTACCGATACATACACTGCGGTTCAACTGAATAGGTGCAGCGGTAGATTTGTTTCAGCAAAAAATTTAAGTAGAGGTGTTTTCTATTGCTCTCTTTATTTTGAACATAAAAATATAGTAATTATGAATCGGACAGACATTATGAGGCAAAATTCCATCGATGTCGATGGCTCCAAAAATATTTTTGCAGTTGTTACCCACCCTTTTTCCCTCTTTATACCTTGAACAGAGTATATTAAAGTCGTCAAGAAGCTTGTAATCCCCAGAAAGAAGCTTCAGAGCTCAAAAAAATATGAATATGCAAGGAGCGTTGAAAAGTAAACACGACTCATCTATATGTCGACTGCTGCATTAAAATCATCTATCTTTATCGATTTTCCAGTGAGAATTTCATGACATTTCATATACGGGAAGTGAAGTTATTGCGTTTTATGCGTCGAGTTTGTGTTATCTTGCGAAAATGAGCTTCGAACAAAGAGACAAACTTAAATTTTGTTTTAAAATTGGAAAAACTTTTACCAAAACGTTTCAACTGATGAAACAAGTTTATATCGATGATTGCCTATTCCGTAGCAGAGTGCACGAATGGTTTTAACATTTTCAAAGTGGTCGTGAGTGACGATCAATATGTGGAATAATCAAAATCCGAGATTACCGGAAATTCCATCAAAACTGTGCGTGAATTCATCAAAAATCAGCCGAAATCATCATTGAAATTCATGGATTTGGGCTTACAAAAGGTGTGTGTACGGTTTGTTCCGCAAAAATTTACTGACGACCGAAAATTGCTCTCATCGATCAACGCTTGTGATTAATAATTTGACCAAAAGTCACATCATATTTGCCGAAAAACCTATTTGTTCTGTTTTTCTTTTTCTGTTAAGTCCTATTTGCTTTGGAATGAACAAACGTCATAAAATATTAACGATAGATTCTTCCAATCCCAAATAGAATACTATTTGCACCACTTACTTGATTTTGGCTGATCACACAGTAAAACTAAAAATATTCCAACTTTTTCGAAATGAAGAACTCAAAAAATGTAAGAATTAAATTAAGTGTGTTAAACTATAATTAAAAAATATATATAATTCTGATTTAATATGCTAAAAATAAGCCAATGTTTTATGTGTTTTTTACAGCGTGTTAACATTAAATTTTCCTTTTATAATCAAAATTTTTTTTGAACCCTTTCTGTTGAGCGCCAGTGTTTACTTAGTAAGTATGTGTGTAGTTACGGTCATAAAAAGCATTCGTTGGTATTGGCAACACCGAAAACGTTAAAGTCATAAACATTTTGTTGACTTATTACTTACTGAGTTCACTTCCTCTGTTCACTTTTACCTCACACTAGTACGGATTCCTATATTAACCAGTCTCTTTACTTTTTATAGGCATCTTGTGTATTTTTCATTGCGCAACCATTTGTTGTATTACAATTGTCATTTAGCTAAATGACTTGAATTAAAGGAACGCACTCCTTGTCATCTAGTTTTCCTATTTTACTTCACGAGCGAGTACGCATATTCCTTTGTTTATATTTTATTTGCCACGTTTTCAGGATACAAATATGTCGATTAGCAAAGTCACGTTCTGTCACTTAAGATGCTGACTAGTAAAATAGAATTTACCCACTTTTCGTACCATATATGATGCGCAGTCTTGGTGCATAAAGGAACTATAATTGGTACTTACAAATATAATAAAAGGAAGTGCAATGTCTAAAAAATACTTAAATGCTATATACGTATAACACAAGTCACGTGAATTAGTATATATTAAGCTAAAACTTACATTTCTTTAAGTTGTTGTGTAGTTTTACCAAAAAGTAACGGTATTTTTAAGAAAAAAAATCAATAAAATGAACTGTAGTAAAATAATATATCAAGAAAACTTAAAAAACTCATTTCAAAACGACTTTTTGGCATATGTTAAATTAAAGTGTTCACACGAGCTAAGCGATACTCACAAGATAAGAAAAAATGTCTTAGAGTAAGCTTACTCTTATGCAGAATATATTATATAAGAAAACGTTGACATATTTCACTTACTGAATCTTTTCCTTTACAACCTATTGCACACGTTTTGAATACTCCAATTATGCGTTTTAAAGGATCCAGTTATGCCTTTATTTAATGCTTTACTTTTCATTAATTTACTACTTGTTTAACCTAAACAGGATATATTAAGTTTGCCACGAAATTTTTAATATACAAGAAAAATAAGTCGAATACCCTACAAAATACACATTTATAAATAATCAACGTCACGATCTAAAACCAATTAATCGTCTTTCTGTTCGTCTGCATATACGCGAATTAATTTCTCAGTTTTAAAGATATCAGGCAATTGCCTAACTTGACTATATTGCAAATCTTAACTCAGGGAGAGCAGTCAATTATTTTAGTCAATGCTATCGGAAATCTTTTTTGTGGCTTTGCGACTCGGAAGAGTTCATAGATCTATATTGGGTTAATTAGTTGGATTACATTTATTCAAAGTAGAAGAAAGTCATGCATTTAACATAAATACTCTAAAATTGTGCAAGTAGAGAAGATCAAATGTGACTCCCACAAAAGGTGAAAGTTTACTTAGTTTTCAGGCTTGATTAAATAAATATATGTATTGTTATTTACAATGCTCGCGAAATGTAACATTCAATGACTTTCAGAAATAATATTTGTTCTAAAGAAAACATATGCTAAATGAGCGTACCATCCCTACATTTTACTTTACTTGCTCCAATGTTTGGAACATAATCAGATTTCTAGATAACTTTTGTTGAAAAATATACAGCCTGGAGCAAATTATTTATATTGAAGAAAGTTATCTGGGTCTCTTCTCCACGAGTTACATAATTCAAGGGAAGGGCAACAACATTTTCGTCAATAGGCACAGGCAAATAGTTGGAATTTTTCTGTTCAGTCGTCAAAATTAATATGATTAGTGGTAAATGATTTCCACAAGATGCTGCTGCAAGTTCTAACATGCATGAAAACGAGAATCAAATCAATGAATGATCCTGTTAGGTTCTGTGGTTGAAATTAAGTGAATTCAATGGTGTACTGATAAATTAGTTATGATTGTTTGGTTGAAAGCCAATCTGTAGTGTTTTGTAAGGAGTACTATTGAAGAAATATGACCTTCTGTGCTGAAAACTGGAGCGAAATACTATTCGAACACTAAACACCATATAAGTTGCGTATTAATTAAGCCAAAATATTGATTGTCTGAAAAAAATTCTTATATTCTATTTGAAATAAAAGTTATTTTACTCCCAGAACCATCCTCTATAACAAAAAAATATCACATGAGGTTCAGCGCTTGCTCTAGAATTTAAAGTTTTCGTCCACGTTCGTTTTGTTGTTTTACTTTTATTTGGGTTTAGCAATATAATACAATTTTAAATTACGCATTTCAATTTGGTCACCCTGTATATGCAGCAAGTTGTTCTCGCATGTTTATTTTATGTCATTTTTGTTGCCGTCTTCAAACAAACCACAATGTGCAATTTTTATGTGGTTTTTATATGCTGTTAGTACGAACATATTCACACATACATACATACATACATAACAGTAAGTGAGTTTCCGACATTTACTTTCCGGCTTTATTGCTTCTTTGCTTATCTGATGCGAAAACGCATGCATTACGCATTAAAATGTTCCCCCTTTTGATCGTTTTTACAGTCTGGCGCGGTAACGATGTCTTGCCCATAAATATTTCAGTAGATATGCTTATGCGTGTATGTGTGTTGACGTCTTACAGCACTCGATTTACTTCCGTTTTTATTTAGTTTATCTTTAGAATTTATGTCGTTAATTTTTACGTCACTTGCAACTTGCTCATGGCGAAGTCTTTAACCTTACTTTTCCCACCCTGTGGCAATTAGTACCAAAAATGTTTTGGAACTTGAAGACGTTTTGTGCTTTAAGAAACATTGAAAACATTTGTGATAGACTGCATGGATATTGATTGCGCTTTGAGGATCTCTAGTATACTGCATAGTTTGGATCATTCCGGGCAGACTGTATAATATTGGAACATAGTATTTTTTTCGCAGAGTCAGCAACTGCTAAGACATTGAGTTATGTGTAACGCCAGTCGGACCCTCTAACCAAAGTAAGTTGAGCTATCAGAACTGGCCGCTGGAATAATAATTTGCTTGCTTGATAAACTTATACACCAACATTGATTTAGATATAAGTTTTTCAAGTATTATATGGTAGATCAGCTGATGGCCACGAGCTAGTGCTGTTTTTTTTTTCTTGTTTACTGTATATTTATTGTACATGGAATAAAAAAATATATATATCTATCAAGTATTATATGGCAGAGAGAGTTTCTGTACTCTCTATCGGATTTGTATCGCTTTGAATAAAAAAAATTTCATGCAACCTTTTTTGTTTCACTGAACTAGTAGCATCGGTCAGCTCTATTTCAGTAATTTACAACCTAATCTAAATTTCAATAATACTCAAACATAATATAATATATGTATTTAATTTAATTATGATAATTTTTATTAATTTGAGATTATTTTCTTCCTCTCTTTTTATCTCAATATAGCTGGACGCCAAGAGCAGCCCGTTAGCTTTGCTGGCGCAGACGTGCAGCGCAATCGGTGCGGATACAACCAATCCAAAACTGCTTGCTGCCAACATTGAGAAATCTACCAAATCGACATTGAAGTCCAGCGGTGCTGATGGACGTGATAAATCCTCACCAGTAAGCAGTCAGTCATCATCCGTATCAACCGGCTCCGTCGAACACATCAAGTCCAGCTTTAAGCCGTATGAGTCGAATAATAATTTAATCAACAACAATCACATGCGAGAGAGACTTGAAGCCGAAACGGAGCGCGCCACAAACTTGAGCACCAGTGCGTCGACGAACAGTTTAAATCTCATCGGCAATGGCGGCCGAGTGCGTACACCAAAGAGTAACGGCAGCGGTGGCATAATGCTATTGAATGGTCAACAGCATGCTGCACAACTGCAACAACAACGTTGTGACTCAAACCAAAGTGCCACCTCACAACGAGACTCGCCAGCGACCGGTATCAATGGTTTGCGCAAGAGTTCACCAATAGGTACCGCTAGCGCAGTTATGGATCTGCAGCAACGCATCAGTAATAGTAGTAGTCCACAGCAACGTGCATCCTCTAAAGAATCGGCAGCGTTAAGTCATGGTATTAGCAGCGCACAAATTAGTCCTAGCGCTGCGGCTGCGGCAGCTGCTGCCAGCCAATCACGTCTACAGTCTGCTACGGATTCAGCTATAGCGGCAGCCAAAGAGGCGAACTATGTGAAGGCGTTGCATGCTGCCGCCGTGGCTGCAGGTGTGCCCACAACGAGCGCGGGTTCGCTACCAGGCAGCACCGCTTACTATGCTGGCTATCCGAGTGGCAATCCGACGAGCGGCTTGTCATATCCCATGGACGTAATGACAGCTAGTGCGCTGATGTCACAACATCATCCAATGTTTAAGGCGGCCGCAATGCATCCCTACTTAAATTATGCTCGCCTGAAGGGCATCGATCCGGCCGCTTTAATGACACCAAACATCTGTCGTGATCCCTACTGCACCGGCTGTCCATCTTCTCCACATTTTCTCAACAAAGCCGCCGGCCAACCATGCCCGGCAGGTTGTCCACAATGCGAAAGCAACGCCGGCAAAGCATCGTCGTTGGGCGGAGGTGGTTCTTCGGCAGCCGCTGCAGTCGCCGCAGCAGCTGCTTCATCATATCATGCACAATTGGCTGCGCTGGCCGCCGCCTCACAAATGCCGTACGTCTGTTCGTGGATCAGCGCAGATGCGGCGTATTGTGGTAAGCGTTTCGGCACCTCCGATGAACTGTTCCAACACTTGCGTACGCATACCGCATCGCTGCCGGATTCAGTGCTGAGCGCTGCCGCAGCAGGCGGTATACCACCAACGCATCCACTGTTTCAACGCACCTACCCTACGCCACCATTGAGTCCACTGTCTGCCGCACGCTATCATCCCTACGGTAAACCCTCCATGCTGCCGCCACCGCTGGCATCGGCGGCCGGCGCTTTGGGTGGTCTACCCATGCCACCACATCCAGCGCTAGCGCAATACTTTGCGCCCTATTCTCTGTACGGACCGCCACGCATGGGCTCCTCCCATCCATAGTAGGAGGCTGCTAGCGGTAGAACGCGCGATGTCTACAGAACGCATTTGAAATAAAGAGCCAAGGTTTGCTGAATGAATACTACATATATTCTTAATATCTTCAGTCAATTTTGACATTTAATGTCCTCCCGCTGATAATCCCACGCTTACGGGGAAATTTTTTGTAAATGTAGGAGACGCGAGTCATGGGACGCGTAAAGTGCTAGTGATGTAAATTATTCTACGTGTGTTATGTACATAAATATGTATGCATATGAGATGTACATATGTATAAAATAAAGCATGCTGATATTGATTGTGCTGCATGCAATTATAATAAAATAATTAAAGTCGTAATTATCGTACTGGCAAAGAGCGTTTGCAATAAACAAAAGAAAAATTATTTATTTTATTAACTAAACTAATTGAAACTTTTATCAAAGTAAATAATAAATAAAGAATAAATTGTATGTATGTATAATCCAAATGTCAAATTGTAAGCAGAAGCAGCGTTGTTGTATATTTTAAATTGTAAACCACAAATGTAATAAAATTACAAATAAACATACTTTAAGATTCAATTAAGTCATCATCAAAGAAACAATAAAACCACGTCAAATATAAAATATTAAAAATAAACTGCACGTACTATTTCATTATTTAAATAGATCAAAGTAAGTATGAATCTCCAACATACGAATTAGTCAATGTTTTCCTTTTCAAGTTTCGAAAGGCACATGATAGAGTTTTAAGCTAGTTTTAAGAATTGCATTCTTCTATTCGTCTTTTAGGCTTAAAATTAAATTTTCGTAGCTGATATGCATTGTGACAAAAACGGAAATTGTAATTAATATTATATTATTTTCTAAAGTTGGTAGGACTGTTCTTAATTGAACGCGATTTGTCAACTAGTTTGTTTACAACAGCTGATTACGGTAATTCAAAACACAAGCCTGTCACTGGTACAAAGCCTTCAAAGACGTTCGAGAAATCGTTGAAGGCATGCTTCGTTCTGGACGATCTTCGACCTTTTTAACTGATGAAAATGTTAATAAAGTGAGCGTCAAGTAAGTGTTAGAGAGCTGGCAAGAGAGCTCGACATATCTTGCGAGTCCGTTCGAATGATTTTGGTTATCTTTAGGCATGCTTGATCGTGAAGATCATTATAACTGCCGATGAGACACGGGTATATGAGTCAACAATCGGAATGGAACCTGCTTTAAGTCGTTCGAAGCGATAAAATAAAATTCGTTGAAGGAGCTGAAGACCATCCCAAAAAGTGCTTACGAAAAGTGTTTCGAGGACTGAAAATCATTACCTTTGGTGGTGATTACTTCGCAGGCAACAAAATAAATATTGATGAATAATTAAATATCTTCCGTTTTCCAAGTATTTTTTGTCACAATGTATCATAACGTTAATGAGAAATTGTAATCAGATAGGAGTAAGGATTTAGTGGAGAATTCACCTCTATGAACATGATTAAATTTAAGTTCGCCGCTTACATCAACTCATCCAATACAAATGATGAAGAAATTCTAAACCAATAGCGAATAAATCGTTCCGCTAACTTGATTCCTCCACATACAGGGCAACTAAGCAACATTGGTTTCACCTCGATATTCCAAATTCGCGAACATGCTATCGACCAGATTGCCATCTCATGCATGACTGTCTGTGGAAAGTTGATTGTCAAATTATACACGCATCTTCAAAGAAAATCATACAGCATTAAGTTGTATGAGCTTGTATTTGCCATCAGTAACAATCTTTCCTCACCTTTTCTACTTTTGGAATGTGGTATTTAGTAGCACATGGACCGGTTCTGATTATGTTTTTGCGGCTTCAATGTTATTGGCTTTTTGCTTTATTATAAGATAATCAGCGACCTAGTTGTCCTCAATATATTTGTTCTCAGAGATACACGCTTAAATTACCTGTTTTCTCGGAATTGTACTGAAAAGTTATTCTGAGCTAGGAGGTTGCCTAAAGATTGCCACTAAATTGCCTAATTTAACCTTTATAGAAGTTCTACAGCAAAATGTACAAATCAAATATGTAGGATAATATTATTTCATATTCTCTGCAAAAATAAGAAATCTAAGTCACTGAAACGTACACGCAATATAGTCCCTTTCTTCTTTTTTCTTTTTCGTTGACTTGTACTGCGCCGAATAATGTCGCCGTTGTCTCTTAATTCGTTGAACCATGCCAATAGTTCGTCGTATATCTCGTACAGCTACTTTAAATTAATTAAGTTTAATGCATTACTGAGACGTGACCAAATACGTATTTCATGATTTCATTAAATGATGAATATTCAATTCATTGGCAACTTTTTTTAAGTCAATGTCCTTGCAAATTTCGGGAGTATAAAATATTCGGCTGCATCCGAACATACACCCTCCCCTGTTTTCTTTTTGGATAGAGGCCACACATTTCTGAAATTGTGTTGTATTGCACTCGATTGGCAAGCAACCACTGTTATGTGGAAGCGTTTGAGACACCAACGGTTGTAGTTTTTACCCGACCACCCATTATTTCGTACTTTGATTTCCAAAACGACCTACACAGAGAAATATTCAAGAGATACATATATATGTAAATACATATGATTCTACATGCAACCACATACATATCATAACACAAACTTCGTAAACCTCTAATCTATAGCGCAATTCATCATTTTGCACCTCAGTTGACGAAGAAAAATGTTTGTCCCTCGCGTTTATTCAACCTATCATAAATGTTCTTCACAAAATTTATTGGCAGTTTTACTAGTAAACCAATTCTTATCTTATTTATGATGTTGTGTGTTGTTTGGTTGTAAGAGTTAGAAAAAGAAAGAAGGCAACAAATGTCTATACAGTCACAATATTTTACATGAATGTAATGTTTTGTTCACTTAACGGTTTCTTACAATATCGTAAAATAATCAGCAGTATCGTATGATTTTAACAAGGACATAGGATTTTAATCTGTGCATTCGTGTTGAGGTACTTATTGAGAGAGTTTGATAATAACTAGCATTCATGTTTCTCGGTTCATGTACGTTTGTAAGATAAAAATTAGCCAATGTTACTTTGATAATCACCAATTTCAGGATATCGTTATTGTACAATCACTTTAAAAGACAAACAATAAGAAAGTTATGAAAAATATTCGCCTGTTACGAAAGAAATGTACAACTGATCAACTTTTCTTATTTAAATCATTATTTTGGTAATATATTTCATTAAAAAATAAAATTTCTAAACATTGATTCAGCAGTGTTTGGATATGTTTATTCAAAATAAATTATGATTTGTCCATTAGTTTCTTTACAGCAGCTGCTTAAGTCCGTACACCTCAATAGTGCGGCGATTTTTATAATGGATGGAACAAAGAATTTGTCTCAAATTTTGTATTTCTAACCAAATTTCGTGAATGGAATCATTGTGAATATTGGAAAAGCTTATGGTGATTTAGTATTATTAAAAGGACACAGCTACTCGACTGGTGGAAATATTAAAAAAAAGATATGTTTCTTGAAAATCGTAACGCAAGTGTTAGAGAGAGGGCAAAAGAGCTCAACATCTCTCACGAGATCGTTCGAATGAGTTTGAGATATATTTTGGGCGTCCTTACTCCACTCGTTCTGATAATTTTTTTCAAGGTACGATTGTTACTAAATTTAAAGCCAAAAACCAATGAATACCATCGAGCAACCACCGTATTCACCAGATTTGGCTCCGTGTGATTTTTTTTTGTTCTTCAAACTGAAATTGCCGCTCTTTCGTCACAATTTTCATCGATATGTAATATTGGGTTAAACATAACTTTCTAAATTCCCTCCGGAGTCCAAAGATGGAAAAGAGAATAAATAATTTAGGATTTGCATTTTGAAAATTTCATCGATTATTTTGAAAAGTGGTCAACATCGGAACATTTGAAGGCCGCAAACACTAATAAATACTCAAATTTAAAAAAGCAATCCGGAAATCAAATGAAATTGATGTGATTTCGTTATTACAAACCGAATGATTACAATTAAGTTGTTCCCCAAACTGAATGATTAATTTTTTTCGAATTATTTGTATCTCACTTTGAAACAACACTTTGAAGCAAATGAAATTTGTTTTCCACTAATATGTAAATATTTTATTTTCCTAAATTTAACTTTTCTTGTACTAAGGCTTAGGTAAAATTTTCTGTGATAATTCGAATCCGTTTTAAGTGGCTAATGTTCTGTTTTAATACTTTTATTGACAAATTTGGTTTGAAGTTTCAGAGCGGAGGTTGTTAGTGGTAGGTTTCAATTGGAAATGTTTCGCAATGTTTTGAAATTCGTATATCAAAAATAGTTAGTTGTATTGACAGCAGGCATGCCAGTTTATTACTACAGTATCCCAGTGTCTATTGGGCGCAATCCGTATTTTGTCTCCTTACAAAATCTCTTAATAAAATCTTGATTATGTTAAATAAAATGAAGTTGAGCTGTCTAATATTCATTTGTGTTTGACACAAACAAACAGCAAAATTATACTTAAATAAGTATATTGATACATATTCGTAAAGTCATTAATGCTCCTACTTGGTTAGCCAGAAACCCCGATTGTAATCAAAATAAAAAAGTCGCGTATCGGCAAAGCACTAATATCAACTCCAGCCAGTTTGCACGGTTGGTAGAAGGTGTGACTACCGAGTTACTTTAACCTTATTAAGTAAAAGTTGAATGAAGAAAGAAATTATCTAGATTTTTAATCTCACCTTCCCACATACAGCTTTTGCAATTTGCGGCCTCCAAAATCCTTAGCCTCACCTTGCATTCAATTAAAACTACTACCCCTGCGATGAGATAAACCTTGCTAACAGCAAGTAATTGAATTGAAAAATCTCGATGCTGCACATGTGCAGGTTGCGAAGCAATGCTTACTGTACTCAGAGGTCAGAGGCCCCAGTGTGATTAGATTATAAATATGCTCTTTGTTGCGAGTTCCAGCCGTTGTGTCTAGGCACCTAAACTAAGCTGATTTGGAAGTAACTTGATCCTATCGTTAGTGAATATTGCCGTTCTATTCCACACTTCGTTTGTATGTTCAAGAGAAATACAGAACATAGTTGACGGTCGTTTCGCAAATCAATAAAATCGATGATAAAAATCAAGAAATAATTACATCCAATTACTCATACAAGCCCTGTATTCTCAGGGTTTGGTCTCTTGTGCGTTTTTCTTTTTTTTTTCACAGATTTCAAAAATGCTTGAAAAATACCGACAACGAAAAGACAACAGTGACTAAGGCCGCTTTTCAATTATAAAAATAGTTTCTAAAATTAGATGATCGCTCTCTAAATAACTATACTGAATAATAAAAATTTGCAAATAATAAATTCCATTTTTTGATTGAATGAACTCATCCTTTCTGATATATAGTATATATTTAGGTACGTAATTAGAATAACAAATATTGTTTGCATTAAATATTATCCGATTGCAAATAACAACAAGCATGTGTAGATTTCGTAGCTATACGAGAATGAGCACGCACTCCGCACATACCATAGGCCAGCAATAATAACGATAGTCATCAACAACTTGAAATGCTCGGCAATGTTCCAAAGTGGCAATGCGCGATCGCATGGCGACCAACCACATCAGC